GTATTTAACCAAAATAGCTGCCACCCTGTTAACAGGGTGGATATTAACCACAGCTTGCTAACAGAAAAAGGTCACAAGATAACTTCAACACAATGAAGGGATGGTTTCTATCTGATAACCTGATTCCAGGAAAAAGAAGCATGAGATGATCACCTGAGATATGCTGACAAAAGGAAAGGACTGGCTGACCTCTAAAATAGTTTCCTCCCTGCTTTTTGGACTATTGATTTAAGCTTGCTGATACAATAAAAATAGTACCCAAAGCCCCCCTGCAGAAAAAAATCTAAATAAAAGGCATTATCTCATGCTCTACTGGGCTCCAGCTGCAACACGCTGACAGGTCTCCATCTGTGTTTGTTATTTTCACCGACCCTCTCCTTCCCTTTTCGGGTACCCACCCCTCGCTGAAGCTGGACTTCGGCAATAAGTTGAAAATATTGTAAATCAAAATGCATTTAATATACCTAACCTTCTGAACACCACAGCTTAACCTAGACTACCTGAAATGTGCTCAGAACAGTTATAGTAGCCTACAGTTGGGCAAAATCATCTAACGCAAAAGCCTATTTTATAATATGTTGAATATCTCATGTAATTTATTGAATATTGTACTGAAAGTGAAAAACAGAATGGCTGTGTGGGTACTCAAAGTAGAGTTTCTACTGAACGCATATCGCTTCCCCACCATTGTAAATTCGAACCACCGTAAGTCAGGTACTTTAGAACAACAACTAGTATGGGTTGAATATTTGCCCCTCCAAAGCTCATATTGGAGCTTAATCCCCAAATCCCTGCTGTGAAATCTGAAAGGTGGTTCCTTTAAGAGGTGATTGGACCATGATGGCTATGTGCTCATGAATAGATTAATCCATTTATGGATTAACGGATAAAGGGGTTATTACGGCGGTGGCACTGATAGCTTCATAAAGAGAGGAAGAAGCACGTTAGAATGTTCTCTTGCTGAGTCCTTGCTATGTCATACCCTGCGTCACTCTGGGATTCTGTATAGTCCCCACCAAGAAGGCCCTCACAAGTTGTGCCCTGCGGACTTTAGACTTCCCAGCCTCCAAAACTGTAAGAAATAAATTTCCTTTTCTTTATAAATTACCCAGTTTTAGGTACTCTGTTATAAGCAACAGGAAACAAATACAATAGCTGGGCACTTACACAGTTAATACTTAAAACAATATTATGCGTATTTGATTGATGAGACTCGGAGAAGCTAATTACCTTGCTCAAGAAAATACTTCTAGACCTTTTTAGGACCTCTCAAGATTGGGTAGTCACCTTTTTATGTGCTGTCCCATCACAGCATTTACTACACAGTCCCACCTATTAGACTAGAAGCTTCAGGTGCTAGGAACTTTGTTTTGTTCACTGCTGTCTCCCTCCTATCTAGCAGTCAGGCATAGAGAGACGCTCCAAAAAATACTGTTTGGATGAATGACTGAATGCAGGCTAATCCTATAAGTATTGTTGTATTCAGAAAACTTGTGATTCCTTAGAATTTACCATTCATTGTCTGTCTTCTCCTACTAGAAGGTAAGATCTATGGAATACAGACAGTTGTGTTTTGCTCCTTGCTGAATCCTCAATGCCTGGAACAGTGCTTAGAACTGACACGTGGTAAGTGTCAATAATATTTGCTGAACGAATGTGTGGAAAGATAGATTTCCTTCTTTGGCTGACATCACCCTGTCTTTTTGTGACACGACATCAATGTATTTTTTTCTGATGCTGATCTCAGTAAGATAATGCTCGAGAACAACCACGACATTGGGACATGGGTGAGTGGGTGAATTCTCAATGCTCTGGCTTCCTGAGTTAAACATTCACATGCAGCTGACTCATGATCAGACGGGAGCCACAGGAATGCTGTCCCCATGAGCACTGCCTGCAGGAAGGTGGCACTGGCAGTCAGCACAGGTGGTCTGTGGACTCTACACTGCATAGTGTTGATCCGGCACCAGCAAAATCATGACTCAAAGCCACTGTGCTCTTGAGTTCCATGCCACACTCATCTCCCTTTCACCACAGTGCAACTCCTGGAGAAGCAGAAGAAATAACCTGCTTATAACAATCATTAGTTTCATTTTCTAAGGAGACTAGTTCCTCTTGTCAGAACTCTTCTATTTCAAATTTATTCTTTTTTTTTCTGTTATTAGTGACAAAGTAACAATCACCTTCACATGAAGGAAAACTAGAATGTAGGAAAAAAGTCATCATCCCAACACAAGTATGGTTGGAATTTTGTATGTATTTCCTTCCTCCTTTTCCCCTGAGAGTATATTATATGTGCTTATCTAACTCGTTTGTGTTCTGCTTTTTTCATTTAACACTGTATTATGTTTATAAACATAAGGATCTTTCCATGCTGTTAGAGTTTATAACCATCTATTTAAATGCCTTACCACACATTTAAGGATCTTCACATATATTATTCATTTCATTGTCAGATATGCCAGGGAAAGTCATCCAAAGAGTTTGAAAAACAAAAAGTCAGGGCACTTAATATCTTTATCTTGAGTGTCACTATTAAAAAACAAAACTTGGGACCAGCCCGTGGCTCACTCGGGAGAGTGCGGTGCTGATAACACCAAGGCCCCGGGTTCAGATCCTATATAGGGATGGCCGGTTTGCTCACTGGCTGAGCGTGGTGCTGACAACACCAAGTCAAGGGTTAAGATCCCCTTACCGGTCATCTTTAAAAAAAAAAAAAAAAACATACAGATGATAAGCATGTGAAAAAATGGTCATCACCATTAGCCATCAGGGAAATGTAAATTGAAACCATACTACACACCTACTAGAATGGTAAAATTAAAAGACTGACCATGCCAACTGCTGACAGGGATGCAGAACACCTGGAATTCTCATGCATTGCTAGTGAGATTATAAAATTGCAGCCACTTAAAAAAAAAATATATATATATATATAATAAAATTATAGCCACTTAGAAAATAGTTTGGTAGTTTCTTATAAAGTTAAACAAGTAGCTGTCATATGACTCAGCAATCCCATCTTAGGCATTTACCCAAGAGAAACAAAACCATGTCTACACGAAGACCTCTATGTGAATGTTGATAGCAGCTTTACTCATAATAGCCCCAAAGTGGAAACAATCCAAATGTCCATCAACCGATGAATTAATATACAAATTATGGTATATCCATACAAAGGAAAACTAGTCAGCAGTAAAACAACAGACTGCTGATAAACACAAAAACACAGATCAATCATAAAACATGCTATGTGAAAGAAGCCAGACACAGAAGGCTACTCCAAACTGTTTTCACTCATACGCTTCTGACACCAGATATGCGGGTTTTTTCCATACCAACAACCAGTTCTCTAACTCTCCAGACACCAGCTGGGTGTTACTACAATTCAATTCAATTCTGCCACAAACAACCCGGACTTAGTGTCAGATTCCACAGGTTTGAAGATACAGGCCCACAAGACTACCCTCACTTCAGATGCCATTGTCAAGTCCCAGATGCCACCTATACTGCTGACCAACTGGGAACCAGTTGGGGATTACCTTGACACCTCCTCAAGTTTAATAATTTGCTAGAATAGCTCAGAGAACTCAGGGAAACACTTTACTTATGTTTACTAGTTTATTATAAAGCATACAACTCAGAAACAGTGAGATGGAAAAGAGGCATAGGGCAAGGTATGGGGCAAGGGACATGGGGTTTCCATGTTTTTTCCAGGCATGCTACTTTCCCAGCACCTAAATGTGTTCACCAACCCCAAAGCTCTCCAAATCCTGTTGTTTAGGGGTTTCTTTCTATGGAAGTTTCATTACATGAGCATGACTGATTAAATCATTGGACATGGGTGATTGAACTCAACCCCCTACCTCTTCCCCTCCCCAGAGCTCAGGGCTGGAGCTGAGAGTTCCAACTCTCTAATAACTCCTTGGTCTTTCTGGAGACCAGCCCCATCCTGAAGCTATCTAGAGGCCCCCAACCACCAGTTATCTCACTAGCATGCAAAAGATACTCACTGCTCCAGAGATTCCAAGGGGTTTTGGGAGCTGTGTGCCAGGAACTGGGGATAAAGGCCAAATATAAGGGCCAGCCTGTGGCTCACTTGGGAGAGTGTGGTGCTGATAACACCAACGCCATTGGTTCAGATCCCTATATAGGGATGGCCGGTTCACTCACTTGAGAGAGCGTGGTGCTGACAACACCAAGTCAAGGGTTAAGGTTCCCTTACTGGTTATCTTTAAAAAAAATAAAAAAATAAAAAAATAAAAAGGCCAAATACTTATTTCTTATTATGCCAAAGCTGCATACTATGTGATTCTATTTATCCCATTTTGGAAAAGGCAAAACTATAGGTGACAAAAATTAGATTTGTGGCTGCCAGGGGTGTGGGTGAGGGAAGGGGTTGACTGCAAAGGGCAGGAGGGAACTATTGTGTCTATTGGGAATGTTCTATATTGGGGTTATTTGACTAAACGCCTTTATCAGAACTCATCAAACTTTATTCTTTTTTTTTTTTTTTTTAAAGATGACCGGTAAGGGGATCTTAACCCTTGACTTGGTGTTGTCAGCACCATGCTCAGCCAGTGAGCAAACCGGCCATCCCTATATAGGATCCGAACCCGTGGCCTTGGTGTTATCAGCACCACACTCTCCCGAGTGAGCCACAGGCCGGCCCCCGAACTTTATTCTTAAAAAAGGAATTGTCCTGGATATAAAGTATAATTAATAAATCTGACTTCAAATAAAAGCCATTTCCTTCCCTCACCTTTTGCAAATCCCTCACCCTCAAAGGATGTGATATATTTATTTTAGATTGCTGTAAAGGGATGAAATAAAAATTCCATTAATGAGCACCTGGTATAATTTGCACACAAATGTCCACTGTCCGCATTAAGCACCACTTGCAGAATACGGTTCAGTAGAATTTTTCAGGTATCTTTGGTCGAAAGCTCCTCTGCTTATCCATGGTTTTAGACTGGATGCTTCTCCTCTTTTGGGCCTCTCTATACTCCACATTCTGCTACTTTAGTAACTCTTTTTGGCTCCTCCTCTTTACCTTCCGTTTTTTTCTCCTTCTCCTTTGCATTCTGTTCTTTTGCCACAAGTCGATAATTGATGCCCATGCCAATGAAGAGATAGATACCTGCAATAATTAGGATCACACCACATGCCCAGTATGTGTATTTGTAGTCTCCATATATGTCACTAAGATGACCTAAAGATGTTTAAAAAAAAAAAAGTTATGTTGATAAAAATAAACAAGGGTACCCTTTCCCAAACTAAGCCTAAGGATCCACTCACAACGAAGATGTCGATCCAATCTTCAAGGAGCCCACAAATGACAAATAGTACAAAAAGGAATTGTTAAAAATGATCTGATCTTCTTGGGCCGGCCCGTGGATCACCTGGGAGAGTGTGGTGCTGATAACACCAAGGCCACAGGTTCGGATCCCTATATAGGGATGGCCGGTTGGCTCACTTGGGAGAGCGTGGTGCTGACAACACCAAGTCAAGGGTTAAGATCCCCTTACCAGTCATCTTTTTTTTTAAAAAAAAGAAACTTAGCCACCACTGTGACTGTTAAGAGGGTAAGAAATCCTCTTATTATGGTAATTGAAAGTTGGAGCTTTAAAGAGGTGATTAGATTGTAGGACCATGCCATCGTGAATGGATTAAAAATGGTGGTCAAGGGCATGGTTCTGAGGGCATTAAAAGAAGAGGAGAGTCTGTCTTCTCTCTCTCTCCTCTCTCTGCTTCTACTATCTTGCAATGTGAGACCCCTGGGTTGCCATTGCCAGCACTAGATGAACTTTGGACTTCCCAGCCTCAGAAACTGTAAGCAATAAACTTCATTTTCTTTATAAATCACCCAGTTCAGTGTACTTTGGTATAAGCAACAAAAGTGGACTAATACACAGGGTGTCATTCATTCAGCAGTATTTATTGAGCCTCTATTTACTGGTTCTGCTGGACCCCAAGGATAAGGATGAGCAGAGGAGAGATCATCCACAGTTTGAAGGAGAAGAGAGATGTTAAATAATTACACAAGCTGTGGCAGTGCTACAAGGAGGGTACTGAAAGCAGAAAATAGGAGGTTGGGACTGGTAAGTGGGGACAGGAAGGCTTCCCATAAAGTGTCCACTAAGCTGAGACTCACAGGAAAACAGGAATTATCTTTGAGAAAGGGGATGAGAAAAGGACCCGCGCAGGACAGCAAGGCAAAGGCACAGTGGTAGGACACGAGACTGGGGAGACAGGTGAGGCCAGGCCATGCAGTGCTTTGCAAGTCACATTTAAGGAATTTGATCTCCCCCCTAAAAGCAATGGGAAGCAACTGGAGAGTTTTAAGGCATTTCTAAGAGGTCTGAACTACAGAGTTCTAAGAGACTGAATAACAGCTAGAGTGGGCACAGGTAGACCAGTTAGGAGGCTCCTGTTAGGAGCAGCCCAGGTAGGAGAGGAGCTTTGAATGCACATAGGGTGGTAGTTGTCATGGAGAAAGATGGGCAGATTAGAAAAAGACTTAGGAGATGAGGGCTGGCTGGTTAGCTCAGCTGGTTAGAGCACAGTGTTGATAACAACAAGGTAATGGTTCAGATCCCTGTACCAGCCAGCTGCCAAAAGAAAAGAAAATTTGAGAGACAAAAACTGACAGGATGGGCCGGCCCGTGGCTCACTCGGGAGAGTGCAGTGCTGACAACACCAAGGCCCCGGGTTCAGATCCCACATAGGGATGGCCGGTTAGCTCACTGGCTGAGCGTGGTGCTGACAACACCAAGTCAAGGGTTAAGATCCCCTTACCGGTCATCTTTTAAAAAAAAAGAAAATTTGAGAGATAAAAACTGACAGGACTAAGCAAATGAATGGGTGTAGAGAGGAGTGAGGGAGGAGAAATTTTAAAAAGTCTGTAGTGAGTCTTCTTTAATGAATCCTTACTTTATACTGCATAATCTCAAAAGGATCAGTAACATCTGGAGGAAGGCCAAATTATTATATTTTTATTAATTAATAATTTTTAATTGTTAAGAATTTAGTATTCTTAGAGAATAATCCATCAGATTTTATGACCACTTACTAGATATGTGATCTTGGGCAAATTATTTCAATTTTAGAAGCCTCTATTTCTTTGTTTATAAAGTGGGACAATGACAGTCCTACCTCATAGACTTGTGAGATGTGACAAGATACCTAAAATGATTAGGACAGTCTCTGCTACACTGTGAGCCCTCACCTGATAGCTATTGTTATTATTTTAAATATTACTACTAATATTTAAAATTTAATTCCATGATTAAAATGAAACCACCACTAACATTTTAAAGGTGGAGTTGTACATTACACATTTTTCTATAATAAGCATGTTACTTTTTTTTTTTTTTCTAAAAATGATGACCGGTAAGGGGATCTTAACCCCTGACTTGGTGTTGTCAGCACCACGCTCTATCAAGTGAGCCAACCGGCCATCCCTATATAGGGATCCGAACCCTTGGCCTCGGTATTATCAGCACCACGCTCTCCCAAGTGAGCCACGGGCCGTCCCTCCCAACATGTTAGTTTTATAATGAGAAAAAACATTTTAAAAACATTGATGTTTGTAACAATACTTGATCGCCCTTCAGCTTGAGGGTTCAATTTAATTTGATTCTGTAAGTACCTGAGCAATTATGCTGTACCAAGCATTTTGCCAGCACCGCAGTACAGAAATGAGAAACACTTGCTTTTTTTTTTTTTTTTAAAGATGACCGGTAAGGGGATCTTCACCCTTGACTTGGTGTTGTCAGCACCATGCTCAGCCAGTGAGCTAACCGGCCATCCTTATATGGGATCCGAACCCGGGGCCTTGGTGTTATCAGCACCGCACTCTCCCGAGTAAGCCACGGGCCAGCCCGAAACACTTGCTTTTGACCATCAAACAGTTCACTAGTCTTTGCTTTCTATCACCTTTTCAATCTCATATGCTTGTTTTATGAAAATAGAGTCACAGAGGTAGGGAGACATACTGTACCTAAAAGTGGTGGTCCCAGGAGGACAGGACAGCATTCCACAATGGTCACCAATCCCACAGCGCTGGAGAACTTCTGGGGTCCGACGAGGTCCATCAGTGTTTCAAACAATACTGAGCTGAACCACCCAAAGGCAAATCCAAGGAATCCCGCATAGACACAGAACCCAGTATAGCTGGTGGCTAAAGGCAGTACCATGTGACACACTCCGTTTGCAATAATAGAAGCAGCAAAGTAATACTGAATTCGAGGTCTTATCCACTTTGTGTTAGCTACAAATCCCATAGAAGGTCTGGCTATAATATCGACAAAAGACATAATAGAAAGAAGGAAGGCAGACTTCTCACTAGCGTAATGTTGACTCTTGGCGTAACTACTAAGAAAGACTAAAGGCGTAGCCAGTCCAAAAGACATTATCACGTTACCAGAGAGGTACAGTACAAAGCCTCTGTGAGTAAACAAGGTTAGGTCCAGAAATTTTTTAAGTGTTTGGAAAATGGATTGTTTCTCCTCTTTGGGGTTTCCATCATTAAGTTCTACATTGGCATCACCTGAACCATTTTTTGTCTCAGATTTTCCAGCTTCCTGAAGAGAATCTTTAGACCTAGCTTTCCCTTCCTTGGTTGGCTTGGGCCCTATTGGTCGCATCAGGGCTCCAGCTACACAGCAGTTTAGCAATAAGCCCCCCAAAATTAGGAAGCTTCCTCTGCAGCCAAAGATGTCAAAGAAAACCTGGTTGAGGGGGGCCAGGGCAGCAAGGAGCACAGGGCTGCCTGCCATGGCCAGTCCATTTGCCAGTGGTCGCCTCTTGTAGAAATACTTTCCAATCATGGTCAGAGCTGGATTCAAGTTGAAGGCAAGCCCAAGACCTGGGAGGGAGGGAAAAAAAACTGCATACTATAATGAATGATGGAAACGTATTTGTTATTAATTAACTAGACAAAAAAACTAAATGGAAAGAAGATAAAATCATCATCAGTATGAGAGAGGTTATTATAACTAATAGACCATTAGGTGGACTGTTATCAAATAAGTACTTACAGGCTGGCCAGTTAGCTGAGTTGGTTAGAGTGCAATGTTATAACACCAATGTCAAGGGTTCAGATCCCCATACTGGCCAGCCACCAAAAATAGATAAATAAATAAATACAGACATAAAGTCTCTCTATGTAGCAAATACCAGACTTACATGCAACATTAAAATAATGCTTTTCACTAGCAACCAAAAGAATAATAAATGTAGAATCCTATATTTAGTTTCATACTATTAGCTTTCCTGAGGAACAGGGAATTGAACACAAAAAGGAGAGAGAATAAATCTTATAAATTCATAAGTAAGATAGCAAGCAAGCAAAAATATTTTGGGGTAGTAAAAATATAACATTGTCAAAGATGCCAATACTACCCCAGTAAATCCATCTGTTTAATGCAATTTTTTTTTTTTTTTTTTTTTTTGACTGGTATGGGGAGCACAACCTTTGGTGGGTGTCGCCCACACCACGCTCAGCCAGCGAGCGCACCGGCCATCCCTATATAGGATCCGAACCCGCGGCCTCGGCGCTCCCAGAGCTGCACTCTCCTGAGTGAGCCACAGGATCAGCCCTGTTTAATGTAATTTTTATGAAAATATCAAGTATTTTATTTTTCAAATGAGGCAAAATGACTGTAAAATACACCAGGAGAACAAATACATTAGAAATATGTGAAAGAGATAAATACTTGGTAGAGCCAACTCTAACAGATATATAAATATGCTGTACAGCTACAATAAATGGAATAGTGGTGTGGCATTTCTTCAAATATAGAAAAACTGATCAATGAACATAGAAAGTCCAGGAACAGAACCAAAAGATAAATTTAAATTTAAATTAATAGGGAAACAGTGGATTTTTCAATCAGTGGGGCTGGGACAAATAATTATCCCAGTAAGCTCCTGAGAGGTCTCCCATTCTTGCCCCTCTACTAGGTAAACCAGACTAGGATACTCCCATTTCAGTCTTCCTAGTGGCTTCCCATCCATCACTCTTCACCCTGGGTTAGGAAGCCCATGATTTGTCCCTTACTTACCTCCATGTTCTCATTCAGTCTATTCTCACATGTGCTAAGCATGTTACTGCCCTAGGACTTTTACCCTAGATGTTCCCCTAGATTTTCACAAAGGAGCCACCTTTGTGGCTCCAAGTTATTCAGATTTTAACTCTAAGTCACCACCTCAGGGCCAGCCCCGGGGCGCACTCGGGAGAGTGCGGTGCTGGGAGCGCAGCGACGCTCCCGCCGCGGGTTTGGATCCTATATAGGAATGGCCAGTGCGCTCAGTGAGCGAGGGGTTGCAATCCCCTTACTGGTCACGAAAAAAAGACAAAAAAAAAAAAAAGTCACCACCTCAGAGAGGCCTGCCCTTTAGGGACTATCTAATCCTTCTCCATGAAAACTCTGTTCTAAGTTTTTGCATAGCATTTATTACTGTCTGATACTTTTCTTATTTATTCACTTATTTGTTGGTCTGTTTATTGACTGCTTCCTTCACTCTAGAGCAGGAATCTTGTCTATCATGTTCCTCTATCCCCACAGTGCTTGGAATAGTGCCTGGCATACAGTAGGGACTCATAAGTATTTGCTGAATAATAACACCAATGTCCAGGGTTTAATCCCTGTGCCAGCCAGCTGCCAAAAATATAAATAAGTAATTAATTAATAAATATTTGTTGAATGAATTAATAATTGAAGTAATGAGCAGTCTGAATAACCATGTGGGAACCAATAAGATTATATTACTTCCTTTTTATGTTATTAAAATATTCTGGATGGATTAAAATATTTAAATGTTTAAAAATTTAACTAATGTACTGAAAGTATAGATCAAAAAAGATAAAACCTGTTATCAGCATTATCTCATATCCTGCAGGTCGGACTGTAAACGACTATAACCTTTCTGAAAGAATAATTTAGTTAATCTTATCAAAAACCTATCCCCCCCAGTTATTCCACTTCTAAAAATTCATCCTAAGGAAATAATAATTACACAAAGATGAACCAAGAAGCACTATCTATCATAGAAATACTATTTATTAATAGTAAAAACATAAACAGACTAGATGTCCACCACTTAGAGAGTGATGAAATGAATTATCCATCCAATGTAAAGATAAAGGCCACTAAAGTATATTAAGTGAGATGCAGAACTATGTGCATGAAGTATTAAGTTTTAAAAAATAGTTACAAACATTATACATAATCTCATCTCTTTGTTCTAAAAAAGTATGCATATGGGCATAGAAAAATATATGAGTGGATATGGCATAAAAATATTAATGGTGGGCTTTGTTTGAATTGTAGAGCTACAGGTGACCTATCATTCATTAGGAGTTTCATTTTCCTAATTTAGCTATTTAAGCTAACTTAGCTATAAAAGAGGGAGGGAGGGCTGGCCCATGGCTCACTTGGGAGAGCGTGGTGCTGACAACACCAAGTCAAGGGTTAAGATCCCCTTACTGGTCATCTTTAAAAAAAAAAAAAAGGGGGAGGGAGAGTTCTCACATGTGCCCTTCACCCCTTGAAAATGGCTCTCTACCTAAAAAGGAAGAGCCTACCAGAAAATTCCTGCTTTGTATCTGATGTTCTCTCCTGCACCAATTTGAGTCAATTTCTTCTTGAGTGCAAGGGTTTGAAATGAGTGGGAATAGCTGACGACTACACTTTCAACAACTCACCACACACCCCTTACCCTATCTTTCTTAGGACTAAAAAAAAAAAAAGAAAAAGAAAAAAATACTTTCTTTCAACCCATTTAACAAACAAAAATCACCCCTTAAGTGGCAGAACTTTCTTTAAAAGCTTGCTTTTCTAGTACTTTTAAATTAACATATCTACAGCTCTTAAACATAAAAACCCCATGATTTTTCTTTCTTTTTTTTTTAAAAAGATGACCGGTAAGGGGATCTCAACCCTTGGCTTGGTGTTGTCAGCACCACGCTCAGCCAGTGAGCGAACCGGCCATCCCTATATGGGATCCGAACCCGTGGCCTTGGTGTTATCAGCACCGCACTCTACCGAGTGAGCCACGGGCCGGCCTAAAACCCCATGATTTTTCTAATTAAGAATTTTTATTTCTCAAAAGAATTGGTAGATGAATGTGACAAATAGTACACACAAAAATTACTTGTAAAAATACATCAGTAGCAACTCACCTCCGATGACTCCAATACACAGGTAAAGCTCCTGTACAGTGTTAGAGAAAGAAGCCGCAATCAAGCCACAGCCTGACAAGCAGCCACCAACTATCATGACCGGACGACTGCCATATCTATTCACCAGGATACTGCTGATAGGACCTAGGAGAGAACAAACAACTTAGGAATGTAGAGGAGAAGCCCACTTCTCACATCCACACCCACACTAGGCATTACTGGCAAGAAAGGGTGCCCAGACAAAAATCCCCCACTCCCCAAAATAAACAGATAAAAGGAAGGTAAGGAATATTGCTTTCTATCATTATTTCAGAGTCATAGGTTTGTGTCATGGAAAAAAATAGCATTGATTGTACATCTTTTATACATCTAGAACATACTAGATAGATTTTAACCGAATTATAAAAGACCTTAACCTAGCTCTTACAAGGCAGAACAGGCTGCAAATACCCTAATTATAAGTATATATAGGATTCTTCATGTATCTAGAATATTATAAACATACAAGGGTGCTTCAAAAAATTGGGGGAAAAACAGAATTAAAAGATAATATGAATCTTTCCGTGAACTTTTTGAAGTAACTTCCATATGTAGCAAGTTTTCTCTGTTTTTAATTTTTAAGATAGGCATCTGGAGCCCATCTTTACACATGAATATGATGAGATGGATGAACAAATCTGACCAAACTTTGGACTTTAGAGCGTATTTATAAACTAGCTAAAATGTGTTTTGTTTCTCAGAGAAAACAACAATAACAAAACCAAAACGAGAAAGAAGGATGCCTACCATGACCACTTTTCTTCAGCATTATACTGGAAGTCCAAGCCATTGCAATAAGACAGGGGGAAAAAAAAGGTGTAAGGAAAAGGAAAGGAAGAAACCAAACTATCAGTATTTGCAGGAGATATGTTTGTATATCTAAAAAACTTTGAAAGAATCTACCAAAAAACTATTGGAAATAACAACAGTTTAGCAGGGTTACAGGATATTCAATTAAAATGCAAAAACCAATTGCCATTCTATACACCAGCAACAAACAGAAAACGTAGTTTTTTTTTTTTTTTTTTTAAAAAGATGACCGGTAAGGGGATCTTAACCCTTGACTTGGTGTTGTCAGCACCACGCTCAGCCAGTGAGCAAACCGGCCATCCCTATATAGGATCTGAACCCGCGGCCTTGGTGCTATCAGCACCGCACTCTCCCGAGTGAGCCACGGGCCGGCCCAGAAAACGTAGTTTTAAAGAAAGTTACCCTTTATAATAACACCTGCTTAATAAGACATAATTGACCTAACAGAACACACAGTTTCTATGTAGCTTTTATTGATAAAAGAAATGAAATATATGACTCTAATCATATAGCTTTGAGAATTAATATTTAAAATTCTTCACTGATAAAGACATCAAGAACAAAACGTACGTGATACAGAGCTTTTGTCTGTCTATTGAAAGTTAAAAGAATAGGCCTTAGTGGGTACTTACCTCCGCCATACATAACAGCAAACATGATGGAGAATATCCAGGACACTTCACTGTTGGTGGCATTGAATATACCTTCAATTTCTTTGTAAAATACGGAAATAGATTTGCCAAATGCAAAAGAGAAGCCGATGGAAATGAAAGCTCCAACTACCACTGCCCACCCCCAGCCTCCCTCTGGGGGGGTGTATCCAACTGGACCTCCAACTGCCTGTGGCATTGTAAGTGTAGATGAATTCCAAAAATGCAGTTCAAATCCAAATATCTGAAGGATATGAAATTAAAACAATGTGTAACAAGTAGGTCAATAACAAAGCACTCTCACAAAACTCCTAACATTTATGTTACAAATAACCGGATTGTTTCTCAATGTTACTTGACCTCTGTTTAAACATAGTAGAAAAACAGTCTGAGTCATAGTATTGCCCATAATTTTTAGAGGTTTAAAGTTAAACACTCACCACCAGTTGAATTTTACACTGAAATCCTTTTTAATAAATGTAGTATTTTTTCCTCAAATTTGTAAGCATATCTGTTTCAATAATTGATATCAGTAATTTTCCACATTATCAAAGATAACCAAATATTCCATCTGACTTATCTGCTTGCAAAACTTACATAATACACACATTATAAAAGTTTCACAATTTAATATTTCCCATATGATTTCTCTCTTCCCAAAACCGATCCTCCAATATTTACCGAGTTTTTACTTTCTCTAGGATTTTACAGGCTGATTCAGGAGGGATATAGTAATATCCATAAGTCCCTAAACATATAGCAATTTACAAAATAAAAATCACTCCAAATATAAGATTCTTATTTAAGGGACTGAAAAGTTATCAAGTAAAGTTTGCCCTTCATCCAGCTTCTTAAATTGAAGGAATTTTTATCTATTATGTGACTAGAAAGATTCCTAAATGCCAGCTGATCAATAGTTAAAATCTGTAAAATGAACCATAATATCAGAAGCTGGTAGTTTTAAATCACATATTTTCCCTTTTCTTCTTCTTCTTTTTTTTTTTTTCCCCAGAAACCACTCAGACTGCATCCTGTCCCTGTTACTCTCCCAAAAGAAGAAATAAGAATGATCAATAGCTTATGGCGGCAAAGCAAAGCAACACCAAGAGCTGGCTTCACACTCCGGAGAGAACACTGCCTCCTCCTGGTGGTTTTCGGTGCTCCACATTTTCAGAGAAACTTCTCTAGTAAAAAAACTATAAAAACAATCCCTGAAAGTACAGTCTTTCACATATTTGTGTGTGTATATATTTGTGTGTGTATATGTACACATACATATACATTATATTTGGTGGGGGCAGCTGGCCAGTACAGGGATTGAACCCTGGACCTTGGTGTTATCAGCACCGTGCTCTAACCAACTGAGCTGACTGGCCAGCCCCCACCCCACCCTTGCCTTTAACTCACCCACTTACTAGTGGAGAGCAGAGTTAGAAAAGGAAATATAATGTAAGCTTATGAATTAGCAGCAGGTAAGAGAGCTTAAGAGCAAATTTACTGGTCTCCTTTAGAGAATTTATCCTCTCTTTTGATTTACTTAAGGCAACTTCAGTTGTATGTCCACATTAACCTTGCATCACTATGTGACCATGACCATTTCTGGCCACCTATAATTGGAGTACAGTGTTAATACTGTACAGGTAAAAGAATCTAATTTTTTACTCTTATATTTCTTAGTCTATAATACAAATCCTAGCATCCTATCCATAGAAGTCAACTTTTAAATAGCTAACCTACTAACCAATCTTAACACCTCAAATATAATTTAGCAAGTGATATTGTAGTGATAGAAAGAAAACAACTCCTAAGAATAGTCCTGGTAAAAAGACTAAAAGTCTCTAAACACTTTTAAAATTAAAAAAAATTTTTTTTTTTCTCCTATATAAAGATGACCAGTAAGGCGATCTTAACCCTTGGTTTGGTGTTGTCAGCACCACGCTCAGCCAGCGAGCCAACCAGCCATCCCTATACAGGATCTGAACCCATGGCCTTCGTGTTATCATACTCTCCCGAGTGAGCCACAGGGCAGGCCCTAAAATAAAATTATTATAGACATTTTTTTTTTCTCCTCTTTGAGACCGGCCGCACCACGCTCAGCCAGTGAGTGCACCGGTCATCCCTATATAGGATCCGAACCCGCGGCAGGAGCGCTGCCGTGCTCCCAGCACCACACCCTCCTGAGTGCGCCACAGGCTCGGCCCTATTATAGACATTTCTAAAAGCTTTATAAAATTATAAAATTCCCAAAGTTTGCACAACTTTTGTTAGATTTATTCCTAGGTATTTTTTGTTACTCTTGTAAATGGTAATTTTTTTTTTTTTTTTTTTAAAGATGACCGGTAAGGAGATCTTAACCCTTGACTTGGTGTTGTCAGCACCACGCTCAGCCAGTGAGCGAACCAGCCATCCCTATATGGGATCCGAACCCGGGGCCTTGGTGTTATCAGCACCGCACTCTCCCAAGTGAGCCACTGGGCCGGCCCTGTAAATGGTAATTTTAAAAAATCATTTTGTCAGTTGCTGGTACACACAATCAATTGTACACACGATTAATTTGTTTAAATAATAGCTTTATTGGTATATACTTCACATATCACAAAATTCATCCTTTTAAAGTGTACAACTCACTGGTCTTTAGTGTACTCACAGAACTGTACAACCATCACAGCTACCTAATTTCAGAACATTTTCATCACCCTAAAAAGAAACCCCATACCCATTAACAGTTCTTCCACTTTCTCTCACCCCAGCCCCTGACAACCACGTATCTACTTTCCATTTCTGTGGAGTTCCCTATCTCCACATTTTGTATAAATAGAATCATACAGTGTGTGACCTTTTGTGTCTAACATCTGTCACTTAGTATAATGTTTTCACAGTTCATCCATGTTGTAGTTTGTAGCAGCACTTCAGTCCTTTTTATTGCTGAATAATAGTCATTTCACAGATAGTACTACATTTTGTTTATCCTTCCAACTGATGGACATTTGGGTTCTCTTCACTTTGGGGCTATTATGAAAAATACCACTATGATATTTGTGTGCAAGTTTGTGTATAGACTTAAGTTTTCTTTTTTGTTTTTGGTGCTCTACACGTTCAGAGAAACTTCTCTAGTGACGAACTATAGAAATGACCCCTGAAAGTATAGTTTTCAATTCTCTTTTTTTTTTTGACCGGTCAGGGGATTGCAACCCTCAACACGGTGTTGTCAGCACAGCGCTCAGCCAGTGAGCACACTGGCCATCCCTATATAGGATCCGAACCAGTGGCCTCGGCACTACCAGGGCCGCACTCTCCCGAGTGAGCCATGGGGCTGGCCCCAATTCTCTTGAGTATATACCTAGTAGTAGAAATGCTGGGTCACATGGTAACTCTGCTTAACATAGTGAGGAACTGCCAAACTGTTTTCCGAAGTGGTTGCACCACTTTATAACCCCATCATAAAATGTTTGAGGGTTCCATTTTTTCACATCCTTGTCAACATTTGTTATTGTCTTTTTTATTTTTAACCATCCCAGTGTATATGAAGGGTTTGATTTTCATTGCCCTGACAACTAATGACGTTGAGCATCATTTTGTGTGCCTATTGGCCATTTATATATCCTCTTTGGGCATATGTCTTTAGATAAGTGTCTTCTCCTTTGGAGAAGATGTCTTTGGATGTTACACTTCTCACTGTGTAATGAAGATGAAAAAAAGGATTACTCAAAGCACCACGAGTGTGATGAGAAGCCCAAAGGGGCTGCACCTCAGCAACTCCTCTGTTAGAAGGAGAAAACTGGGTACAGCCCCAATTAAGAGTTAGCTTCTGTTTTTTATTATAAAGACAAGGAAGTTTCACAAGAACAATCAGTTGACACAATCATTCCGAAAGGACACAAAGACATGGGCAGTGTGACAAAAGTTATCTATGGCTAAGTATAGCTTAAACAATGGAAACTAGTAACAGCAGTAAAATTAACAATGTGACATTCCAAAGTACAATTTGTGAAAAGCTAAGTTGCTCAAACTGTGATTATTATCTAAAATATAACCTCTCCTTAAATGATTTAAGCAAAAGTTGCATTCTTATGATAAAATCTAAGTATTATTGTATCTAAAGTTTCCACCAGCAAACAGCTTGCCCCTAGCAAACATTTTTTCACATCTTTCCCTTCAGCAATTCTTAAAATCTCTTAACAGCATCCATATGACAACCACCTGTTAGCTCTAAAGTCATTAAAGCATACAATCCCATACATAAGCAGTGGTTAGAGTTGATTAGATGGGCTGTTGCCACGCTATCTGTAGACTGCTGTCTCCTATCTGAGGACTTTTGTCACATACATGCATTTACCTAAAATCCCTATTCTAAAAATCAAATAAGAATCAAGATTTCTAACCCTCTACATTTCCTCCCATTTAATTATTTTAAAAAATCAGAAGAGATCAAGGAGTTGGAGTCAATGATGGAAGCAAGGACATTCTGATGAAGAAGAATCAGCATTACTTTAACTTGACGAGTCCATTGGAACACGGAACATAACCATTTAATCACTTAGATCCTGTTGAGTTAATAGGTATGTGAGAAAGGATGGCCAGAAACAAATTTTTCAGTGTTGGAGGAACACTCGTTCTTTGAATTGTGGCTTCTGCTTGACTAATGAGACTTTTTAATCCACCCCAGGTTGGTATGGAGTTTGATGTCGGCATTGTCATTACTTGTGGGCTCATGTAGGTTGGAGTGGAGGTAGCTGTTGGTATCATCATCACTGGTGGTCTGATGTGTACCATTCCCGGTGGGATGAATTGAGGTGTGATGATGAGGCATTGAAACTCTGGGATCAGATTCGATTCTTCATCTGGTCTGGGGTTCCACATGATATGGTTTGACAGCCTTAGCAGGGATCCACAGTGGGCCTGTGGGTGAAAGAACAGAACCACACCCTCTTCTCCTTGTTAACAGTTCAACAGGTCCCAACCATTGTGGTCCCATCGGCCAGTGGTGGTATAAAACCAAGGTTTAGGTTTCTTTTAAGGAGGTATAAAGTGTCGTTCTGTGGTGGTTAAGTTTTGAGAATAGCAGTTTAAAAAATTTAGAGTAAACAAAGCCTTAAAGACCTGTTCATGGGGGTCCATTCCTATATCTATATTACCCCTCTTTTGTTTATTTAATTGAGATTTAAGAAGGCCATTAGCTCTTTCAACAATTGCCTGGCC